CCTTCAGTTACGGGGTTGTTGAAATGTCATACCCGGGAAAAGACTTGTAGTTTTTTGCGTACATGGGCTGAGGCCTGGCCGGCGGAGAGCGAGATGTTCGAGCGACTGGAGGGCACTGGGGTGAAGCACGTTCCTGCCACCATGCACGATAAGATTGACAGTACGCTGATCACGGCTTTCATTGAGCGATGGCAGCCGGATACAAACTCTTTTCACCTTCCGTTCGGTGAGATGACGATCATGTTACATGACGTCGAGGCCATTCTGGGGATTCGTGTTGAGGGTAAACGACTTTGTGCTGTGGCTGATGCGGATCAGGCAGATTCGCTGGCGGAGTTGTTGGCGGTGGACAGGGTTGCACTGTACACCGAGGCGCTAGGTGTTTGGGAACACGGAGGTGTGAAGATCGCATCTGTGTTGCAGCGGTGTTTGTACCCGAGTGCACGTAGGACGCCCGACGCACAGCTGAGTGCTTATGTTTTTCTACTCCTCGGATGTACCTTGTTTCCGGATAAGAGCGGCGGAAACAAGCTCAGGCCACGCGACATCGTAGAGGCGTGTGACCCCGACAGTGTAGGCCAGTTTTCCTGGGGATCGGCTACGTTGGCGTATTTGTATCGCCAACTAGGATTTGCGAGTCGGGCTGACGCGGCAGGTATCACTGGGTGTCTGACTCTATTGCAGACTTGGATATACGAGTATTTTCCTGCATTGCGACCACATCGTGACCCAGTTCCTATTGATGAGGGGATGCCGCGTGCTTGTGCGTGGAGTCCCCGCTCGGAGAAGAAGTCCGTTGACCGCCTCCGATCGATACGGTTATTGCTGGACAGGCTGTCCCCCTTAGAGGTAACGTTTATTTATAGAGTCTACATTTTATTATTTACACATATTATATTCATGTTATTATATTTTATATGTTGTAATTGTACAGGTGAACTGGATGCCTTTCGGCCCGAACCCTAGTGTTAGGGTACCCAGGACCCTGTACACGGGACTCATTCAGTATCGTGACATCGTCGAAGCGTACATGCCCCAGCGTTGTCTTCGCCAACTTGGATTTGTCCAAGTTGTCCCTCCTCCCCCGGCGTGCCCGATGAAGGCGGTCCGACCTGCATCGTCGAGGGAGTACGTCGTGGAATGGCCGGATATCATGACCGGGACGTGGGACCAGTTTTCGATGGTGGCTCGATTATGGACAGCGGAGTTGCAGCGGCCGCCCTCTGGGGTTACTCCCATGTGTGACCATTACTACATGGAATGGTTCAACCGGTATTCGCACCCGAGGTTGATCGCTGATCTCGACCACAGCGATGATGATTATGTGCCACCGCCTACTGCCACGGAAGCGGTATGTCTTTTATTATATTTATCGTTGTCTTTTATTTAAGTTTTATTTGTTGTTATTGTATTTCATCTTCTGTTTTTTGTTGTATGCAGTGGATGGGAAAGATAATGCAAGACGTTCAGAAACTCTCTCTTGAGAAGGACAGCATGAGTGCAACAGGGAGAGCTGTTGTTGATAGTCTGGAACAGACCCTTGCGCAGTGGGAGTTGTCGTCGAGGAGGGATTACTGATGGTTATTGTATTTTATTTATAGAACATTATGTTGGACATTATGTTGTAAAATTGTAACATTTTAGATTGTTCTTTTAGCTTCCAACTTAAACATATTATCAGTGCTGTTTTTAAATTTTGATATAACCGTTCGTGGATCCGCGCAACTTACCCATGCAACATATAGAATGCAGTAAACAATACAATATAAAATATTAATGTTCTCATTAATAGAGCAACGTACAAATAAGATTACAAATAAAGAATGTAAACAAGAAAAACTAAAATGCAGCTAGGGTGTTCCATTCGTGGATCCGGTCATGATATAGCGCATCCCAACCCTCTACGCTCGCTGTGCGAATGTTGTACCACCGAGGTATAATCGGTGGCACCGGAAAATCGGTTGACATGTCTAGTCGGATGAAATGTCTGTATGACGACCCAAGAAACGCAATAGCTAGCTCTCTGACCGGTGTGGTGACAGTCTCACGCGACCGCCAAGGGAGAACCGTGGTACAAGGATAATAAGCTTGACTATGCACTCCCAGGCCGAAATGCATGACTGCTCACCAATAACAAGCGTCCTCCAGAATGAATGGACTTGATCAACATGTAACGACGCCCTTTCTTCTGTAATAACGCGATGAATGGTGCATGCGCAAGGTAATCCATGAGTTACTGAAATAGTACACCCACACCGAGTATACACTTCGTCAGCCAAGTCCCTCACCCTGTTCAGCTCAGTGAGAATCAACCCCAAGCAGTAGTGCGACACACGACCATGGAGAATCTTAAATATAAAATGGCTATACATCGTACCATGTCGTCGTCTGGAGTCCTCTAGAGAGTTCCTGATGTCGTTCTTCTGAGTTTCAATTGACTTGTTCAGTCTAGCGAACAGTGTATCCAAAGCAGCGGTCGATGAATCAATCCAGTCCTTGGTAGCTCTATGAGCGCTCTCAACTCTACATGTTGTAGTGTTCCCAAAATGAAGTACCTGGTTTGTCCAATATTTGACAAACTTTTCCCTATGAGGGACCCATTGATGCATCACATAGTCCACCAGTGCCGGACACCACTGATACGAATCCCTGAAGTTAGCCAATGCTCGCTCATACGCTTCCTCTGTGGTAGCCTGTAGGATCTTCCGCCACTTACCATTCACCAATCTCTCTGCCATTTCCAAATTCTTCTTGAAAAGGTTGTAGGCTTTCACTTTCACGCAGTTGTTGATGTGCCATGTGCACAATAAGTGGTTCGATTCGGGAAACAGCTCTGCTATGGGGGCAAAGAGACCTCCCTCACAGTCGCTGACGATGGCTGCTGGATGAACATTAGGCCCGATGTAGTTTCTCAGCTTCTCCAAAACCCAATAATAACTTTGAGCCGTCTCATCCCTGATGATTGCATGACCAATCAGAAAGTTCTGGTTCGTTGGAGCCATCCCAACCATCTCAACCAGAGGGAACTTGTACTTGTTTGTCTTGTACGTTGAGTCGATCAAAATCACAAATGGCCAAGACTTGATCATATCAGCACAATCAGGATGCACAAGGAAAAGATGAGTCACCTCCGCTGTATCTTCATCAGAATCAAACCAGAACAGGTAACCACGTGATTGTGCCTGGTGTAGCAGCTGCTGTATAGGGTTCCTTCCCTCTGACCGTTCAAACCTGAGTTGCTGTCTGACGTTGTAGATGTGTCTTCGGTTTGGATGGTCTTCTGGAAATTTCTCTAACACAGATGCTAATATTTTAGCAGGTTTCACTTGAGCATCACTCATTTCTTTCACAACTAGTTTCGCAGCAGGACTTAAGCCGCTCAGTTGTCGATGACCCTCTTCATATACTATCATCTCATGGTTGTGATACCCCCATTTAGAGTAACCTATCACTTCCCAACCGTCACGACTCCGTAGTTGTCGAACCTTTACTCTGAACTCACACCCACAACCTTTCCGCTTTGTGTCAAACCGAGTGGCTGTACGAAAATCTCTTTCTTCTCTTTTGCGATAACGGTCACATCTCAAAATGCGATCCATTCTACCATCCCGTTGAGATTTATGAGTTGCTACTACCAAGCAAAATCCAGCTGCAATTGCAACCTGTTTTGCCCAATCAATCGCCTGTTGAGCTTCTTCGAATGGACCATCATGTCCAAATATCTCACTGTAATCATTTCCGTCTCCACCATATTCCTGCATCAATTATATATTACAATAAATACATTTAACGGATAATACATTTAATTTCTATATTTCCACATAATTAACACAAAAAAAAACATAATTATATATAATCAAACTTAATTTTTATAAAAACCCAATTCGAATTTTCAAACTAAATTTAAAAATATACCATTTCGAATTTTCAAATTTAATTTTAAAAAAACCTATTTCGAATTTTCAAATTTAATTTACAAAAAACCCATTTCGAATTTTTTTAAAAAATCATTTTCGATTTTTTATTTTCACAAAAAAAATTAAATAAAAAACAACAACAAAATCAAAAAGGAAAAAATAAAATTTAATTATTAAAGGTGGCGTCTGCCAGGGCTGCCACACCCACTGGACTGGCGCCTGGCAGGGCCGCCTCACCCAGTGGAGTGGCGTCTGCCCAGGACGCCAGTCTGGTGGTCTGGGCGTTTGGGCTGGACGCCACTCTGGTGGTCCGGGCGTCTAGCCTGGACGCCACTCTGGTGGTTCTGGCGTCCGGCTTGGACGTCCAGGCTACGGTTTGGGCGTCCACCCTAGGCGCCGTAGCCACTACGACGGTAAACCGTGAATTTTAGCGGTCACTTACCTCGTTTTCCGTCGACGACGACGTCCTTCCGGCGTCCCCCGCATCTCCGGCCTGCCATCCGGTCTCCCCCGACGAGCCAATACGGCTCCACATTTTTTACACCGAGATTATCTCAATTTTAGCAAAAGGGCATAATGGTCAAATCATAACATATTTGTGGGCTTTATGTGGTAATTTGTGGGCGATGTTTAGCGTTTCACTAAAATAGAAGTTGGTTTTCTTTTTTTATAAAAAAGGAAAGTAGCTGCTGTGACTTATAGTGAGATGTACAATGCAATGTACCTCCTCCTGGTAAAATTTTCAGTCTAGTATATGTTACGGTAAATTAAAGTGTTATTTAACTATATTGAACTGAATCAAACCCAAAAAAACAAATTGACCCAACCCAATCTGGCCTAAATATGACTGAAATGACCCAATCCCAATTCTAATTAGCCAAGTGTTGACTCAATACCCAACAATCTATAAAACTGAATCAAACCCAGAAATCAAATTGACCCAATTTAACCCCAACTTAATCCAACCTACTAGTTAGTAGTTACTACACAAGATCATGCACATTTTAGCCCTAAACATACATAGGCTCCAAAGAGTTATACTATGTTTGGTTCAAAAATGGACATTGTACAACATTGATGGAATCAAAATCAATGAGGTCGAACTCAAACTTGATTACAACCGATATTTCTAAAGCATCACAACCATTTTGCAAAGAATTCAAAATCTTGCCAGAAAACGATAAATTTTAGCTAGTCACATTCATCTCAAATACAGAAATAACATCTATAACAACCTCACAGCAAGTTTAAAAAGCCAAAATTGTAATGACACAAGGAAATAACTAAAGCATTCATCTAAGAAAAATATGTAGAGCAGTTCAACTCAAGAGAAACCATATTGGCATTACATAAAATTAAGCAGTAGCTGCTTCCTTCTGTAGCCTCTTCCTAGCCTCCTCAATAATTGACAACTTGATACCCTTACCCTTGGGAACAGATACCCATGGCTTGGTGCCCTTGCCAATGATAAAAACGTTGCCTTGACGAGTTGCAAATTCGTGACCAGCAGCATCTTCTACGTGAATGGTTTCAAAACTACCCTTATGCTTTTCTCTGTTCTTCAGGATTCCAACACGCCCTCTGTTTCTACCACCAGTCACCATAACAACATTTCCGACATCAAACTTGATGAAGTCAACAATCTTGTTGGCTTCCAGGTCAAGCTTGATTGTGTCATTGGCCTTGATAAGTGGGTCTGGATAACGGATGGTGCGACCATCATAGGTGTTCAAATAGGGAATACCTTTCTGTCCAAACTGAATTGATCGGACCTTGCAGAGTTTGTACTGAAAAGTAGATGATGTACAAATAAGACACAATTCTCTGCATTATAAAGTAGACTTAACTGGTGGCATCAAGGTAAAAGAAGAACATAAAAGACATCAAGTCAAAATAAATGGATCAAAACTAAATGCAATAAATTCTTAAAAGCAAATAACAGTATACCTTTGCCTCTTCATCTCTGATAGAGTGCAAGCGGAATCTTCCCTTGGTGTCATAAAGCAGACGGAAATTCTCATTTGTCTTGGGAATGGAAACAACATCTGAAAAAAAAAGGCAGTTCCCATGAACAGGTGCCAAAAAAGTTTATACATAGTTATCAGGTATTAGTTATCCTAACAAAGATGTATAATATGGGGGAAAAAATAGCAAGTCTTGGCCATAAAAAGGTGAATACATCATGCAATCCAATCTAAAGGAATCTTATATATACGTCGGAACATAGAAGATCAAGACAGAAATTGAAAGAGAACATACCCATAAAACCAGCTGGGTAGGTCTTATCAGTCCTGACTTTGTTATCAACAAGAACATGTCGTTGCATCAAAATAGCTTGGACCTCTTGGTAAGTAAGGGCATACTTTAACCTGTTACGCAGAATAAGGATCAAGGGCAAGCATTCCCTTGCTTTGTGGGGACCAGATGAAGGTTTGGGAGCCTGCATATCAAATTGCAGCAAGCATAAGAAAAAATTACAGCAGCGAAACAGCCAGATGAATAACGTGCAAATTTGAGTCACTTACAAATGCACCACCAAGTTTGTCAAGCATCCAATGCTTGGGGGCATTGAGCCTCTTCAAATGTTTCTTCAATCCTCTTGCCTGCAATTCAGATAAACAACAAAACACGAATAAACAACATTGGAGAACAAACATGCATACCCTAAATTCTCAATAGCATTTACTCCATATAAAATATACTCTGCAATTAAGACATGATATCAAAAATTCAAAACGAGAACAGCTCTATTTCCTATAAAAAAATCAATCCACCTTCTAGTTTAATCATTTAGCTCCACAGACAAGTAATCACCGAGAACAGTGTTATACATTTACCACCTGAATTTAACTCTTACCTAGTACACTACCATTTATGACACAATTGAAATGAAAAATAAGTAAAATAAAACAATCATTTCACCTTTGCAATACGTTATTTATGCAATTTGATAGCAAACAAAGATTAAGTAACCATTTCAACAAATAAATCAATGAAACATATCCCATCATCAATCGAAGAAAATGCTAAACAAACGCACTCGAATACTCTTCATCCATTTCCCTGTGCTCTCGGACAGTACCACACTAAACCAGTTACTCGATAACCGATATTTAGGGAAGCATCAACCATCTCATTATGACATCCTTAATACAAATACAATCCACTGATACCTTCAATTCAAAAGCAACACGAAATGTATCTAAACTAGAGACTTCAACCCTTATTCCAACCAGAAATTACCGAAATAACCGATATTCAAAAATCATTAGATCAAGATAATTGTACAATTAGCAAATTTCATCAACATTTATGATCAATTCACAGTCTTTAACCACAATCAACCAGTACAATTCCAAAAACAAAAAAGACCTGGTTCACATTTTGGCAAGAAAAATCACATAAATTACACAGAAAAGATCAAATTGATGGAAATTTTACAGACCCAGAAGACATGCAGCCGATCCCAGAAACAAAAATCCACAACATTCAGATAAAGTTCAGATTATGCAATGAACAAAAATCATAGTATTGGAAATTAGAGAAAACAAGAAATGAGTAGATTGCAAGAGATTAGAGAGGAGACTGACCATGTTTGAAGATTTGGGTGGAAGAGAGAGAAAGCTGTTCTCTCTTCAGCGGCGTTTGTTCGACAACAGAAATTGGTTAAGCAGGTATGAATGAGGGTTTCAATCAAAAACCCTAGTCTGTATCTGTTATCAAAAAGCTTTGCTAGGGTTTTCTATATAGTTGGGCCTTTTTTATAAACAGAAATGTAATTCTAAAGTTAGCCCAACTTTAGTATCCCCTGGACGGTTGGGCTTGCTCCTCGTGGACTATTTTTTTTTTTTTTTTTTTTTTTTTTTTTTTTTTGGGTAAATGAGGCAGAGAAATACCATTAAAAGCGAAAAAAGAAAAAAAATACAAGTATACAACAAAATAATCAAACTAGGGAAGTACAAAGCGTGGGGTAGTCACACCTTGCACATTCTCACTAATAATCCTACGAAGCTCCAAAGGAGCACTACCTAGAATAACAAGATTATCCGATTGAGCCACTCCACGATTAGTAAGCCAGTCAGCCGCACGATTACCCTCACAGAATACATGGACCACCATAACTTCCCAATCATCTTTATTAAGCAAATTGTGGCAATGCTGAAACAAGTGAGCACACTCATCACTTGGTTGTGAATCAGAACTTAGTGCTTGAACACATGCTTGATTATCTAGTTGAACCTGTAGCTTGCTTATGTGTAGATTTAGAGCAAGTTCAAGCCCTCGAACCAGAGCCATTACTTCAGCTCTAAATGCATTGTATCTTCCATAATTTGCAACAAAACCCGAGATGAAATGACCTTCATTATTGCGTATTATGGCACCTCCCCCTACTGGACCAGGGGAGCCTTTAGCTGCCCCATCCGTGTTCAAAGCATACCAACCAATCTGAGGTTTGAGCCAAGTAATAAGTTTCTCAACTCTAGGCTGCCTACTGACCTGCATTGTGCTCAGCGGATCATCATGAATGCATCTCCAAGTTTCTTCAAATCGGACCTTCAAGAATGCTCCAATATCCACGGGAATATCTTTACCATTAGCAAATACTCTGTTGTTCCTCCATCTCCATAACCACCAGACTGTGGTTCCAAAATAAGTAGGCCATTCCTCTGACTCTTCCTCATTCCCACAATCCAAGTTTCTCATCAACCATTGATAAATCACATTTATATAGAGTTTATAGGCACAATTATGCTAGTTTTATAGTTGTTTTTTGAGTCTTTTATCGCTTTTTAGGCCGCAATTGCATAATTTGTCCTTTTTGTGCTCTATTACGCTTTGTTTGTGTTTTTCTTAATGTTTCAGGTAGTTTCTATAACTATTTGGACGCTTTCGAAGTGGTTTTGGAAGAATCGGTCAATGAAAGGATGAAAAGTCGATGAATTGAGCTTATTAATCGTAGATCTCATGTTCGTAGATTTTGACTATGAGGATTTTATGCATGAGAAATAAAAATAGCATCCACAGTGATCGTTATGCACTTTTCGCTATTGAATTTGAGTTAGAAGCGAAGTTAAACGATGTTTTACAAAGTGGTAAAACTGACTCTTATTCACTATTTTGATCATAACTTGAGTTCTACATATTGGATTGAGGTAATTCAAATTGCATTGGAAACTAGATTTGAAGATCTTTCCATTTATAGGTCACACGCCCCTATACAGTTCCTAGAACGCGAGATACAGCCCTTTGAAGTCAAGCCTGTGAAGCTGCCAACCCATCGCCCAGTCATCGGGCGATGACGTGATGTACGCTCGAGCGTGAGCTGCTGGTTGGGGCGATGGTTTTCCATCGCCCGATGGTCGAGTGTCGTTCCGACCATCGTCCACCCATCGCCCGATTGGTGGGGTGTGCGCGCAAGCCACGAGAAATCCTACATCGATTATAACTCTTTCAATCGACCAATCATATCACGACTATTGTAATTGCTATTTTTCTAATTTTATTTTATTTATTTATCTTTAGATTAGTTTTAGGATAATATAAATACTCCAAGGGATTTTATTTTTCCCTTATGCCTTTTATATCTTTTATAATTTTACGTTCTTTTGAGTTTTCTCTTTTGAACCCTAGTTTCTCATGGCATCTCCATGGATTCTTCCATGGATGATTCTTGGGTTTACTATTTTAATACATTGAGGTATTTTATTTCTATTTTCTTGCTTTTAATTATGTTTTATTCCTTGGATCTAGTTTTATTATTTATTTCATGCTAGAGTAGTTTATTTCTAGGGTTTGGGAATCCATGTTTATATTATGAATCTTGATTGATAATTTTAATATTTTGATTATTGATTTCTCTAATTGATAGTGTTTTGTTGTTAATCTTGCAACCTGATCAATTGTTTGATTAATTATTGTTAATAAGAGTATGAATCGAAAGATCTTACTTTTAGAGGCTTACCTACAATTACCAATTCTGATTATGTTAGCGACCGAACTATATATGTTGAATTGAGAGCGTTAAGACCCGACCGTAGGCTTAGCAATTGCTCTAGATAATTGATTGATTGAATTGTTATTGATACTTGATAGATTTTGAACTATAAACAGGGTGAACCATAACCCTAGATCTTTCTATTAATTGTTTTATTTCTTATTTCAATTAGGATATATTTCTATCCCAATTTCGTGACATAGTTTAGTTTCTCCATACCTTGAAAGCTAGATTTAATAGCCATCTCTCTGTGGATTCGACCCTACTTACCCTACTACATGGTTAGTTGGTTTTGTTAGGAATTTATTTTTGACATGTGTACGACAACTTATCAAATTTTAATTCCCCTTGAAAGAAATCAGGATTATTGCTAGGACCTCCTACTCTTCTCCAAGCACATTTGGCAGCAGGACAATCCCTAACGATATGCATAGTCGATTCATCTGCACTCCCACAGGTAAAACAACAAGGACTAGAAGTGATTTTGCGTTTGAATCTATTCAGATTCCCCATTAACCTATCATGGCAAGCAAGCCACATACACGCTCTCACACGCTGTTGGACTGGAGCTTTACAGATTAAGTCCCAAATGTCTTCATCCAAGCTTGAATTCTCTTTACGAATGATGTGCAGAGCTGACTTTATCGAAAATTTGCCTTTGGGAGAGTTGTTCCAGTATAGCAAGTCTTCAACATTTGGATTCTCATTTACTTCGTGAGCTTAAATGAGTTTAAGAGTGTCTTGATCAAGTAAGTGACCAAACACAACCCACTTCCATCCCATGCCATGTTCCCACATCTCCTCAACTGTTGCTCCCAGAAGATCATCATGGACAGGTTGAATTGCTACATCAATTAGTGGTGATGAGGACACCCAGCGGTGATCCCAGAAAAGGGTCTTAGTTCCATTACCAACAACAACATGAATCCCTTCACAAAGGTTTTTAGCGTTTTCAGAAATTCCCTTCTAAACGTTTGACATGCCTTGTCTCGGTTCAAACACATCAGAGTCGCACCTGCCCTTACAGTATTTCTCACGCAATACACGAGCCCAAAGAGCATCCGGATTGGTGAGTAATCTCCACCCGAGTTTTGCCAAAAAGGTTGCATCAGACTGGCTTGCTGATCTTATGCCAATACCACCTTGTGCTCTTGGCTTTTGAAGATTTTCCCAAGCAATAAGGTGAATTTTTTTGTTATTCTCACTGCCTCCTCAAATAAATCTTCGTGCTTTCCTATCAATGTCATCACACACCGACTTTGGGACCTTAGTTGTCTGCATCGAGTAATAAGCCAAGGAAGAATGGTGGATTTGGCTAAAGTGATTCAACCTGCCATGGACAAATATTTTGTTTTCCATCCTGACAGCCGCCTGTCAATTTTCTCGCACAAATGCTCGAAAGTCTCTCTAGTTACTCTACTTGAAATGGTAGGTATGCCAAGGTACATGCCAAGATCATTGGTAGCTTCCATGCCTGGAGCTTTAGAGATGTTATGTTGGGCAGCAACATCTATGTTGTTCGAGAAATATGTGCTTTTTCTTTGGTAGAATTTAGTGAAGGAAATGTGAATTAAAGTTTAGAGAGCGTTTTTAAAGAGAAAAATCGGGGGAAAAATTAGTCAAAATAAGTGTTAGGTGGGGCCTACAGACAGATAATCCACCGGATTTTTAAAATGGGTGGTAATCTGAGCATTTATTTAATTTAAGGGATGGTAATTTAAAATAAAAAAATTAAACAGGTGGTTAGTTCGAATATTGTTACATTTTTTATTGGTAATTTAAAAATTTTCCTATTTAAAATTATATTTTTGGAGCATGTTATTTTTATAAAAGTAAGTATTTTATAAAAGAAAGTTTTTAAAAGACAAAAAATGAGTTTGAGTAGGAAAGAGATTATTAAGGATATAAAGGGAATTAAAGAGTAGGAGGGTTTCTAGAGAAAAGGGGTATAAATATTCAACACATGTTTGCCAAAGTGGAGAATACCTAAAGTAAATTTTCTCTTTCCCTTCTCTCTTATTTTCTTTTTCTTTCTTATTTTCCCCTTCCCTTTTTTTGTGCACCACGCCCACCACCACCACCACCACACCGCTGACTGAACACCAGCGAGCACGCCAGCAGCCGCGGCGACATGTGCGGGTGCGGCAGCAGCCCAGCCGCGCGTCGTGGTGGCTGTTGTTGGCGGTTTTCCGAAAAAAAAAACCTTATTTTGCTTTAATTCTTGTTTCTAATTATGATCTATGGGTTTTGTGATGATTTTGAAATGTTTGATTATAAGTATGATGCAAATTAATTTTCAGATTTGTTTTTGAATTAAAAAGCCCTAAATTGAAGGGATTTGTTAAACATCGCCCACAAATTACTACATAAAGCCCACAAAATTCACTTAGTTTGCCAAAATTGCCCTTGACCTTAAAAAAAAACACTCACACTCTCATCACTCACTCACACTCTCATTGCTCATCTTCTTTCAACCTCTCTAAAAAAAAATTTCAAATAACGGCAATGTCGAGGCGGCAAGGCAAGGAATTGGCGGCGGCGGCGGAGGGAAGGATGTCCCAAGGAGGAAAGGTACATTTTGTTAAAAAAAAAAAGGGAAAAACCGCCGTGACGGCGGTGGGGCGCCCTGGTTGGACGCCCAGCCAGCGGTGGTGGCGCCAGATGCAGACGCCGCCACCAGTTGGCTGGCGCCTGGGCTGGACGCCATAGCCACGGTTGTGGCGTTTTTTCAAGGCGCCGCAGCCG